TCAAACAGTGTTCACATTTTTTGGGACACCCTGTATATGAATGACTTGACGTAATAACAGGAAAGTAATATTTCTTAAGTAGAATGTAAGACTATGCTCCACATTTAAGTTGAAATGACTGGTGACGATCACGGTCATACTGGCAGCATAGGAATCAGTATCCGTTCATATCTCTTACATTAGCTGCGACATAAGTAAGGTCACATAAGTAGCACAGGTATAGAATTAATACAAAATAATTATTCATAAAAAAGCTAGCCAAGCTGCTCAATCAGTCGGTGAGGCCAAGCAAAGTCCTTACTCTCTTTCTGACAAGATGTGAACAACTCAAGAGTAATCAAATTTCTTTCAAGCTAATGAATCAACCGCTTCTTCGTCTAGGATTTCAAGGGTTCCTGGTTTACTTTTTTGCAATCCACCTGTGTATGATTCACGTTTGTTAATCAGCTCAATACCCTGATTAATACCCCTTACAAGTGTTCTAACAACTTTAGTGACCTACTCCTTTAGCTCTATAGTTGAATGTAAACAGTGCTTCCGGTGTCTCACTCTATCACGGCGCCACGATGTTCCCAAGTGGAACCTCATTCGCATGATATCATATTTATTTATTTTGCGAAGATCATAATGCGAGAGTGAAGTGGATGCGACTGAAGCTGGTTCGGAAATTTTTTGAACATAGGATCACCCAAAATTATTTTCGTTATTGTTTTTGGTGTTGTTGAAGTTTGCTGTACCGCAACATTTTATCAAAAGGTGTTTGATGATTTTATCTTTCTGACAGTTCATGTACAATTCTCCTTGATTTTTCTCCTGTATTATAAGCTCTTCTCAAATAAATTTGTGTATATATCGTTTCATGTATTTTATTGTTCATCAGTTTTTCTGTTCTACACTATCATCTTTACGTATCTGTTTATTTGTGATTTGTTGCTTCTTTTTACGTTCGAATGCCTGAAGTATCCTAAAACACCCCCTAATGTTTGCAGATGAATGGTCTGTTCAACGGAACATCGGTCAAAAAGCTGCTAGGCTGGAGAATTGGCGAGGAAGAGGAGAAATTCGCTGAGAAAGCGGTAGAAACCCTTGTCAAAAAGCTGAAAAAGAAGAATGGAGGTATCGGTCAGTGCAAAACAGTTAGTTATCCATAATTTTGATGTTAACACTACCCAAGTAAAAAGATTTTGAATTTAGGGACTCTGGAAGATCTAGAATATGCGTTGTCTCATCCAGGATCACATTCCAAATGTGTCGCTTTGCC